CTCTGTGCCGTAAAGTCTGGAACACAAACTGAGAAACCAACGTGACGTTATCCTGTTTAACAATACGTTCACTATATTGACGGTGTAAATGACAGTCGCTGAAGTCTTCTGTTGGTTTCATTTACTGATCATGTCTTTGTTTTGTCTCCAGTCTCCCAAGAAAGTTGGTGACGACATTGCCAAGGCCACCGGCGACTGGAAGGGTCTGAGGATCACCGTGAAGCTGACCATCCAGAACAGACAGGCAGTGGTACGTAATGTGTTAAAGTCGACTATATGAACAATCTGTTGCTCATTGCGTCCTGAAAGAGATGGAAGTGTAGAGACTAGTTGTCCAACTGGATTAAAATGACCAAAAAATCCTGGAATATGTAAATTGTTTTCTCCTCACTCAGATTAAATAAACCCGTCGGTATATAATCTGCTCTGACGTTTAAAGTCGGTTTCCTAGACTGAAATAATTTCTGCTGCCTGTCAAACAGTCAAATCCATCTTCTGTAAAATCAGAGTTCAGTTCTTGTTGTAATAGTTAAAGCAGTAAAGTTCTGGTGCAGCTCTATAGCATTAGTTATTAGATGTGACCACACTGGTACAGACCAAAGACTTCACATCAACATTTTGATGGTTTTGTGTCAAAATAATTATTCCCACTTAATCTCGATGTGTTTACCGTGCAGAGCTAACTAGTGTGCGCTCATCAACAACGGTACCCTTTCAGAACTTTGTCAGACTGATGCTTCTGTGAGTGAAAGTCTTCATAAATACGATTTTAAAGGCCAAATATGGAGTTTTTACAGCAACTGTTTGGGTTTCAGGGTTGAACAGTGAGGAACTGAATGTCTTCAGGATTAAATGCGTACCGTCTCTCCCTCCAGCTCGTGCGAATATAAACCCTCAGCTTTGTTTTCCAGGTCGAGGTCGTTCCCTCTGCGTCTGCTCTGATCATCAAGGCTCTGAAGGAGCCTCCTCGTGACAGGAAGAAGGTCAAGAACAGTAAGTGACTGTGGCGTCGTGTGGAAGCAATCTGTTCAAGTGGATTTACTGAATCTCACCTTGATTTTCTAATGTTTTCCAGTCAAGCACAGCGGAAGCGTGACCTTCGATGAGATTGTGGGCGTTGCTCGCGTCATGAGGCATCGCTCCATCGCCAGAGAGCTCTCCGGTAAGAGTTTAAACACCGACCGTACCGCTCAGCCTCCCGCCACTACGCCTGTCTGTTAGTGACTGAGTGTAATCCAGTGGAGGCTCAGATTGACCCAACTTTAGGAAACAGGTCTGCCCCAACTAATGGACAACTCTGTGCCGTAAAGTCTGGAACATTTCATCAAAACATCAGTTTAAAGTCTATTTAAAGTGTTGGCAGTAATGTTTTAACACTTTACATCCTCTCAGCGCTTTAAACTAAATCTGTATATGTGTTTTTATTTCAGGAACCATCAAAGAGATCCTGGGAACCGCTCAGTCCGTTGGGTGCACCATCGATGGACGCCCTCCCCATGATGTCATCGATGACATCAACAGCGGCAAAATTGAGTGTCCGTCTGAGTAAACTGAGGAAATCAATAAAAGTTCATAGAAACTAAACCTCCTGTGTTAAAGCTTCTTTACGTCCTTTTGTTTCACACAAACACTGAAATCAATGAGTTCAAAGACTGCAAACATTAATGAATAAAGGCTCAAATGTATAGAAACTTAGTTTTGAGGGTGTAACAAATTACTTGAATACCTCCTGTAAGTATTTCTACATTTAGAGGATCGGAGTCCGTACTGCACTACTGCTGGTTGTCTATTTACAAATTAGAAATGGTTTTAAAGCTCCAATCAGCAAGAAATCACAACATAGAACAGCCGACTAAATGTTTTATAAGATACAGAAAGAGTCTACAGCTGATCAGGTAGTGAGAACTGGTGTTTGTCGTCTCAGGAGATAAAAACACTTAATGTGGGATAAACTGAGAGTGGTGCTTTGACTAACTTATATTAGTATTTAAAATAACACTAACTGGGTCTTTGGTTAAACAGTTAAGGTTCCTTTTAATGAAGCAGTCTTGAAAGAGTTTGACCTGAATTAAACATTATTGCTAAAACCTGTTTAGGTTAATTGACTGTAAGGTGATGTTTGTGGATGTCTCTGTATCTGAGGGACCTGCAGAGGTTTGACCAACAGATTCTGGTCTCACTGCAGTCTGGATTAGTTTCACATAATGATTCAGCTTTTAATACAAAATATTTATTGAAAATATCCACCAGTCATATACAATTCTACAAAAGTATAAATGGTTCAAAACCCCCAACAGATAAAGAAGAAGAAGGCCCTGAACACAAGTGCAGCTATGTCTTTTCTCCCACCGGGTATTAAGTAACGTCGATCCAACAGTTCATCACCGTCGTCTTCGAGGTGTGAAACTGATCTGAGGACACTTCAGTGTTTCTCACATTCAGCTGTTACAAGCTCAGTGTTTGTTTCGTGTGTGTGTCAGACTGTGTGTGAAGGAAAAAGCACATCCATGATCCTAACTTCACACCAGGTTTGTTTTCGTACCAGAATCGGCATCAAATTTCCGTCCAGATTGGTTTGTTTTCTTGTTCTTTTGATAAACGAGTCCCTGATTTAAATC